AAGATTCAATGCTGCTCCCCCTTTGTTGAAAACAGACCTTTGACTGCCACCTTAAACCCCATTAATTATTCCATAGTCTCAAACACATACAAAGTAAATGTCTTTCAAGATGAACTTGAATGATTATATGACCAGAGCCATGTTGGATTTGGAAGAACTCAATAGGGAGGTCATTTGCTAGTCTCTCCTTCCATCTTTTTTATTTCTCTATTTGTACATCAATTGAATTTCCTGATAGCCTTTTATTTAAACAAGTCAAACCTTGATTTGTTTTTTCAAGATCAATCCATATTAGTTGGGTATTGTTACCCACTGTGACTGGAGAATGCTAAGTAAGCCTAAAAACTGAATGGAACAGCAATTTCAGTTAAGAGAGCAAGACAGGTAATGAAATGGGGCCTAGTAACCTTCTAAGTCACTGCCCGGAGCAACACGAGTGCATTTAAAGCTCAGAGTGATGTGTGACTGATATTAGCCTTCATGGACAGCTGCAGCAATCATCTCACAATATAACTGAGACATTCTAATTCAATTCTTTTTCTTCTTGTAATCAGATTCAGATGTAGCAGTTCACACCTCCCAGTCTTTCAGCAATTGCACTAATTTCTGGTTTGCTTCCAAGAACAATTCAAAGAGCCATCATCATCCCTGAAGTTCTATGTGGGTTAAAATCAATGTACACCAAGGGCTACCCAAAGGACAAAATCAGTTTCACTCACTCTAAACCAGTTTTAACTAGAATTCAAGCTGCAAATTATCGTGAGATTGACCAGTTTTTCACTGATCTAAAGAACAAGTTTTATTACTTTGTCACTTAGTTTACACATTACGTTAAGCCATGCTTGCTTGCTTGTGGTTTAATAAACCAATTGATTGGGTTTGTAAAACATGCTAAGGAAGAATGGCTTAGTGTACAATCTGCTAATTCAAATCTAAACCAATCACATTTCAATTTAATGTCAGGACCAAACCAACCTACATGTCAATTAATGCAAGAACATTAATCACAACATAATCTGTGATTGTATTTAAACACTGCAATGCATAAACATTGTGCCATTATTACCACTATCTGTAAATAGTTTGTATTTTGCATCTATTTTTTCCTCCACTTCCTTCAATCCCAGCCCATTATAAAAATAGTTGTTTTTATGGATGTTTAATGCCTAAAGCAGGACTAGAACTCACATTCTCCTGGTCTCTAGCCTGATGCCTTAACCATTACACCAAGGTGGTTCACATTCTGCTTTTAATCAATACTCTTTTTCATAAGCAGTATCTTTCTGCTTATGCATCAACATATATGCATGTTGATTTTTGTTTAGTAAAGAAATTTGCATTTGTTTCTGTTAAATTTGATTTGATTAATTTCAGCCCACTCTTCTAACTATTATAATTTTAAATGGGTCTTTTAGCACAGGGGTCCCCAACCGCCGGTCCGCGGACCGGTACCGGGCCGCGGAACAAGCCTTACCGGGCCGCTGGTTGCTGGGCGCCGCCATCTTTTTTTTTGGTAAAAAAGCGCTTCTGGTGAGCTTTTCCGGGTAGAAAGCTCACCGGAAGCGCCTTTTCGTCATAAAAAGATGGCGGCGCCCAGTTGACGCCGGTACCGGGCCGCGGCGCCCAGCTGATGTCGGAACCGGGCCGCGGCGTCGAAAAGGTTGGGGATCCCTGTTTTAGCATATTAGCTATCCACCCAGCCTCGTGCCATATGCAAATCCAATTAGCATTCCAGTCACAGAACTTTACATCTTCACTGAAGTAAGACAGGTGATAAGCCAAGAAAAGTAGAATTTAGTCTCTAATATTCCTTTGCCAGGAAAGCTGGGTTCACATTACACCCTGGTCCTACTAGTCTAATATTTCTCTAAATTATATCAGATTTTAGATTGTACATTTTTGTGAAAATTGAAATAAATGAAATTGAAGTGAGAAAAAATGTGGCTATTAATGAAGAGGGTATATTTTCCCACTTCAAAAGCATTTTTCCATCATTGCCAAAAAACCTGATCCCCCAAATGTTGCAGAGAAGTATCTGCCATTCTTAGAAATTCTAAATGTATATTAAATAGACTTAAGCAGTGAGTAAGATGTACAGTATGAATAGCAAAATTTCAGGTTCAGACCTTCCTGTTATGAACTTATCTAGCCAACATAAGCAATTTTTTTACTTCAGATCATTATTAAACTGACATTTGATCCCCAAAGTGCAATTTATTTATTTATTTTTGTTTGTTTGTTTATTTGATTTATATTGCCGCCTATTTGCCCATGGTGACTTGAGGCGGCTTACACAATTAAAAATTTGGTACAAAATAATGATCCAAATGTTCCTGCAGTGCTTAAACTAGGAACTTGGAGTTTTAGTACCTAGCTAGAATCTGGATGAGGGATCTAACTAGAAAGACATGTTTTGCAGATTAAGTCAATGGATCTTTTTACTGAACATTATGAGTAAAGAAAAAGGAATGTTTACATTTGAAAGACCATTGTATAGGAAGCCTAAAATTCCAATATAATTAATGGGCAAACTGTCGCTTCACGCTATAGTTAATCTGGATCTGCTGATTTTAAATGATTGGCTTGTGATTACATTTTAAATCACCAGTTTGATAATATACAACAGAAATCTATTCTTAAGGAAAAATGTGACCATATATTCTCTATAATAGACAATATCACTCTAACCTTAGGGTTTTACGTTATATACTATAAAATGCTAAACAAAACATTTTAAATGCTAGACAAATATTGGGTATATTTAAAATATTTGAGATATTTTACATGTGAACAAAATGAAACAAATGTGTTTTTTCAGAATATATGTACATGCCAATATATGCAAATGTAGTCCATATTTGAGTAATAAGTTAAAACCCATGATTAGTCAAAAATATTTATTCAGTTTAGCGACCTACGTATTAGCAATCGGGGAAATAACCAGAATCCCACTCTCATTTTAAACAACTTTGTTCCTTGCTGCTTTTGCCAGTTAGGGTGAGTCCATGCTGCAGTTTTGAAGCTGGCTGAATATTGATTCTATCAATATATTTAAATCACTGTTCTCAAGCTAATATATATAGTATGTCATTTTAATTTAACAGTATACTTGCTATCTATCCATCCATTTATGTACCTACCTACCTATCTACAAAATCATCATTGGCAGTATGGCACTTATTGCAATCCATATAATGATAGAGATATATTACAGTGGAAGGCTGCATTATGGGATCATAAAAATCCTTTCCCTCTAGTCATGGACAATTTTGTTCCTGCATAAGAATTTAATGCTTCTTGTTTGCCAGAAAACCAAGAAGCTATGGAGCATAGAAAGTCTGTTTAGATCCACAGTATCATAATAAAAAAAGTTATGAAACAAAGCTTGAAAATTGATTTTGGGGATGCACCAAATTCAAGTTCAGGGAAACATACATCAGAATTGGTTGTATAGAAATAACCCAATTAAAATAAGTGAGCCATATTTCTCCCTGCACATGCATGCATCCTGACTCTAAATGTATACCCACCTCATCCTGTTAATAATGATGTATGTTCCATAAAATTTAAGAACAGACTATATAACTTAAGTCATTTAATCAGTTAGAATTAAAACATAATCTGATAGTGATAAAGTGCAAATAATGCTACTTATAAAAATGATAATTTGTGGGTATTACAGTGGAAGAGATATTCCTTTCTCCTATGGGAAGTAATGCTTCCTTTAAAATTAATGAGTTGGAGGCTTTTTTCTTCGTTGAAGCATTATGTCATCATTTGTTAAGATTGTTTGTTATGTATATAATTGTACTTTATATATAGTGTATATACACGCATGGAAAGTGTCTTAAAATTAGCTTTAAGAGTGAAAACATATGAATACGTGTGTTTTATTGAACAAATGCCTTCTCGGGGAAAGAGATGAAAATAAAGGATTCAGAGATCCTCCACATTTACACTTTGGAGAAAGCCCGATGACTTAGTGAAAAGCTCCCACATTCAGCAGGGAGCTTAGAAAATACAATTCTGAGAAGTTCCAATGAAACGACAGCAGCGGGCGGTTTGTAGCCCTCCTACCCTCTCCTTGAGGCACGATCAATTCCTTTAAAAATGACTAATTTTTAAAGGGAACCTTCGTTTCAACGGACTTCAGGCGCTCTCAAGCCTGCGCGGGATCTGCTGGCAACGCTCCTTCGCCTTTCTTTTGCCGATCCCTATGCCTCCCGGCAACTCGCTTAGCAACCTTTTAAGCCGCCGGAGCGCAAACTTTAAAACCCCAAATTTCGAAAGCCGTTCAAGTAGGAACATGTTAGAAAGGCAGCGCTGCTATCGGTTGCCAAAGAGGCAACGGCCGCGTCAATAGAAAAGCCTTGGCTCAGCGGAGCACCAGCACGTGCGTGACCTTTATATTTAAATTCCCTGTTTCCCAAGAACAAAAATAAAGGCACTCGGGGCAGTGCAATTTCCAAGTAATTACTAGGGTCTGGCACACCGCTGCTGTTCGTCAGCGGAGGCAGCTAGCGCTTCGCCACTGTAAGCCCACGGGCGGCCTTTCTGAGCTCGCAACCCGGGGGCCGCCAGCGCTCAAGGACACGCGAGGCTCTCCCCTCGGAGGCCGTGGGGAGGGGCCGTCCGGTGCGCTTCAGGTGAAGGGGCTGTCCAGCCGCTGCTCCCGCCTGCGCGCGCCGGCGAAGGAAAGGGGGCTCGTGGTGCGCGCCGGGGGAAGCGTCAGTTTTTTTCCTCGGCGAGGTGAATGTTAAAGACCTCGCGGTGTACGGTGGGGGGGACGACACCCTCTTTCGGCAGAGCCGGGACCGGTAGCGGAAGTGCGCGGGACGGGCGAAAGAACTGACCAACGAGGCATGGTGGCCTGAGAGGGAATTGCACAGAGGAGGGACCCAAGATGTCCACTACTGGGCGCTGGAAGGTGATGATGTCAAAGGGGTGGGGATTCATATGTGAGCCTCCGATGGGTGGGGTGCCAGCGACCCCTTAAAATGAGGGGGGGAAGCGCACCGAGCCTTTCGGGACGAAAGTTTGAGGGGCCAAAAACTGCTGCCAAGCGCGGGCGAGGCTGCGTCGTCCGGCGGGCTTGACGCGGACGCGCAATAAAACCTGACACTCGCCAGCTGTTCGGGCTCCTCCTCGCCCCCTCCTTCGCCTTCCCCCTCCCCCTCCCCTCCCCCGCGGCGTCGGCCGCTATTGCCGCCCCAGTGCATTGTGGGCGCAATCCGTTGTTCATTTGCCATTCGACCTGGGCCGGGGCCTGGTGGGTCGGAAGGGCTGCTGCTGGTTGAGCCGGATCTATTGTAGGGGAAGCGCTCGAGGAGGAGGCGACGACGGAGGCGGCCGTGCCAGCGACGCAAGCTGGAGCGCGGGGATAAGATTTTGTTCTTGCAGCCGTTAAAAGCGCTTTCAAGCGGCCCGGCGAACTGACTGACTGAAACTGCCTGGCCGGGTGGGTGCTTCGGTTGGTTAGCCGCTTTTTCTGCCTCCCCTTTTCCCCCAGAGCGATCAGGGGTGGGGTGGGGGTGGGGGGGCAGCAGAGACACAGTTGGGCCGGAGCGGGAGGAGGAGGGGAGCGCGAGGGAGGGAGACAGGCGGGCGGGCGGGGGGCGCGCGGTCGCCCGCCATGTTCGCCGAGATGAACCGCAGGACCTTGGCGTTCCGGGGGGGAGGCCTGGTCAGCTCCGCCGCCGCCGCCGGAGGAGGGGGCGGCGGCGGCCCGACAGCTAACGGCAGCAGCGGGAGTGGGGGCAGCAGTGGCCAGGGCGAGGCCTGGGTCCGTCAGGAAGCCGAGCAGTTGAACGGCCAGGGGGTGGAGGAGGAAGTGGAGCTAGAGACCGTGGAGCTGGAGGTGGCCGAGGTGGAGGCCGCGGACAGTGCCGGGAAAGAGCTCTCGCCGACCCCTCCTTCGGGCTCGGCGAGCACTGCTCCATCCGCCGCTGCCCCGGTCGGCCCCATGTACGCCGAGAGGAATCGTCGGACCTTGGCCTTCCGTGGCGGGGGCTTGGTGGCGGCCGCAAACAATGGCTGCGACGGGGCGGGCTGGTCGCGGCGGCCGTTGAACGGGCGGGGTGGCGGCGGTGGCGGCGAGGAGGAGGAGCTGGAGTTGGAGGGGCTGCTGGAAGGGAAAGAGCTGGTGCAGGACGGGGGGTCGCTGAGCGACAGCAGCGAGGACGAGGAAGACGGCGAGGGGGGCAGCCTGGGTGATGGCAGCGGCGCAGAGGGCGGCAGCTGCAGCAGCAGCAGGCGGTCTGGGGGGGACGAGGCGGAGGTCAACAGCGTAGGCGCGGGGGAGGGGGAGAGTATCCAACACTTCCCGCTGGCCACCCGGCCCAAGTCCCTCCTGCAGAAGCTGCACGTCTCCTTCCAGAGCTGCTGGCTTAAGGAGTTCCCCTGGCTACAGTACTGTCAGAAGACGGGACTGGTGTCCTGTGCTTGGTGCACGGCTGCCGTCCCTACCGCCTCTTCTACAGACGGCAGCAGCAGCAACAAGAACAACAGCAGCAGCAGCAGCGGGGGTCACGACGATCTCTGCAAGGGTACCCGCAATTATAAACGTGCCCTATTTCTCAGGCATCATCTGTCAGCTGAGCATCGCCTCAAAGAGCCAGTCACTGCTGAGCATGTAAGTTGAATTGGGGCAGGGGGGAGGAAGAGAAATGTGGTCTATTGAGCAGAGGTGGTAAGGGAAAGCAATCCTCTTGCTTGCCCTCCTTTCCTCTGAGCCTCGTCAGGCAGCCTGCCTTGTATGATTTACTTTAAAGGGTTTCTAAAGCCTTGCCTGAATTTGAGGGCATTTTATAACCCTGATTCATGTTCTCCCCCTAATAAGGAACTCTCTGATTTTAAGGAAACTTAATTGATAATTTTGACTGAATGTTGAAGGGGTGGCATGTAACAGTTTTGAGATTCAATAGTTGTTACCTTTGGTGTTTCTTAATGCAGTTACTTACATTGATTGTGGGAGTACAAGTCTAGGTAGGCAGAAGTATCTAATTGGTTTGTATAATGTATGTGAATGTAAGGTCTAAATATCGTACTCCCTGTATTTGGCACTGTATGTGATGCAAACTATCCTTTTTGCCCATTTAAGTGCCACATTCAAATAATACAGTAAGGTTTATTCAGAATGGGAAAAAATCTATAAATGTAGTGACATCAATCTTTCAAAAATCTTGAGAGTTCTTCAGAAATGCACTATACTCCAAGTAAAATTGTTTTTGGAGGGCAAACTTTGAAACCTATCTGTAACTCTTTAAAGCATCAGTATTTTTCTGGCATTATAGGATCCAGAGAAAAGACTGCTACTTTTAAAGAGGTGCAGACAAGGTGTTCTGTTCGCACTCTATTTACTCATGTATATTTTTTTAGAATTGAACTGGCACATTATGTACCCCTATTTTGTAATTCTTGATACTTTCGAAAGTGCTGAAATTTCTGTTATTAAGAATGCTAAGTGTTTTTATATTCCACTTAGAGTCACTGGAGGAAAGGCAAAATAAAAATCTAAAAATAATGTGATAAAAGTTGCTACATTTCAAATAACTGAAAACATTTAGTTTAATAAACTTTTGAAGGTGAATAAATTGAAAGATGATATTACAGCAAGAAATATGTGAATGTAGACTTTGCATTCAGCATTTGAATATTGAACAACTAGAACATTTTGAATTTATAGTCAATCAACCAAGTACCCAGATATAAATGTGAGCTGGCCTATATAGGATGTCTTAACCTAATGTTATCCAAAGAAACATAACTTTGGGGATATAAAGTTGGTTTCTTTGTATCTAAACTGAGCATTCTGCCCTAATGGACGCTAGATTTGTTCTAAAGTTGTATAGATGATCCATTTAAGTTCCAATAACTTAGGTGGTTCTTTTCATTATTTTCATTATCCCTTCTTATATTTTGTTATAATTATTTCTTTTAAGTTTCCAAATAATGTCCAAAATATTTACCATGGTGATTGAGGGTCCCTTTTGTTTCTGAATATGTTGCAGACATGCCAGAGTGAAAATACTTCTTTAAAAAACTAAAAAAGCTCTTTCTTAAATTGTGTTTTGCCTGCTTAATAACTACATCAGTGTTATATGGTATCTTTAATTAATCTTCATATATTATACAAAGATTAATTAAAGATACCAAATACTATTTAAAAAACATTTTCATACAAACTAAAAACAGTCTCAATATTTAAGTTCTGTTTGCCCATCCAGTAAAGTGTCAGTGCAATCTAAAATACCTTCAGAATATTTCAAGTGATTTCCTTTATTTATTAAAAAAAAAGGTAAAACATTAAAAAATAGAAAACACATGTTGACAGGAAGACTAGGAGAAATCATATAAATCGGGTTCCCCAGTTTGGTGCTGGATTACAATTGTTGTCATTTTTAAGTAGTGAAAACACTATTATTCAGTACTATATTAATATTGTTTGATATTGCTGATCATTTAATAAATACTTTTTTCAATAGGAAGTTTTATCTAAACTAATGATTTAAGTAACCTTTCTTGCTGATTTAAATTTATTCACTTGTTAGCATTAAGTTCTCATGATTCACTGTACTATATTAATGCCTCCTCATTCCTTGTCAGAGACAGCCAACTGCAATCATATGAATTGCTGCTGTTCTCTCAGCCTATCCCATTTTCTCCAAGACTAATTGTATCTTAGATGTATGCTGTGGGTATTGCTGAGAGGTACTGAAGAAGGATGAGATGATAGTTCAGGTTTTATTTCCTTAGAATTGTGTTTCTCAGCCTTAGTGACTTTATGATGTATGGACTTCAATTCTCAGTATTCTGGAAATTTTTGGAGTTGAAGTCCAACACACTGTAAAGTTGCCAGAGATGAGAAGCACTGCCTTAGACAGATGGGAAGACTGGTGGTGAAGTGTGATTTACTTCAGATTAAGAAGAAGAGCAAGCAATTATCTATTGCCCTGAACTTTACAAAATATTTCTCAATGCAGTCTAATACACATTTGTTATTGTACTGTATTTAGAATCGAAAGAAAAAATGGAATATGTTCTGTTTTGCCATATTCTCACATTAATTCATACAATGTCAGATGCAAAATTAAGATTGCTATGAATAAGGTTGAGGTTGGTTCAGTAAGCATGGATTTTGTGGACTTTAACAGCCAACTGAAAACTTGTGGATTTCCTGGTGTGAAACTATTTTCATTGGTTGTATCCAACTTTTTAACTATTTTAGTTGAAACCTGTTTCTCAAATTACAAATTACACTTTATAGGTCCCTTAGCATGTAATACTTCTCTGTATTTCATTAGTGCCTGCATTTATATTAACATTTTTTTTTAATTGCAGTATAAGAGTTGATAAGAAATACTATATTTGGTAGTTGAGGAAGCTGTCCTAACTTTCATACTCATAACTGAGACATATGGGGATTTGTGATGGAAGCAATCTTGAATTATGTGTAAAAGTATCACTGATAATATAAAATTATTATATAATCTGTGTTATATTTAGGTTGTATCCTTAAAAGATTTTCTGATAAAAGACTACATGAATATCCTAAAAAATGCATTTTCTCCAAAGATTAAATATGTGATTGTAGATTTTTGGGGGGCTGTACAAAATGGTTGAAACTACTTTGGTTTTGTAAAGATTCCTTATATTCCTTATTCCTTAATATATTAATATTGAACACATTTAAGGAAGATGAGTGTGTGGGATATATTTTAAATAGGCACAAAAAAATGATCTCATTCTTCAGTTTAAGGTTCCTTAAAATAGATGTAGGGTATAAGTCTTCAATCTTAGGGCTTGTATCTGAAAATCAGGTTAGGGATTAGATTGTTAAGCTAATTGAAATCCTCCTATTTGTACTTCTCGCGTATCAGACATCTTGAAGGAACAGTGTCTTCACTATAAAACCAGGATGTATGTAACCAAATAGCAGATAGTTACAGACTTTCCTTCATATTTATGTCATGCATGATTATGTAGAAATCTGGAATAAATATGCTATTTTCAGGAAAATAGCTTCTGGATTATCAGAATTTTAAAAAAGTTGGTTCCTATGGAACGGATTATAATGCCTGATACTTCTAACACTTTTTACCAAAAATGGTATATATTAGTTACTGGGATTGAATGAGCTCTTTGATTAATGATAGATATTGATATTGTGTTTTGATATATCAGGTACCAGATAAAATAGTAGGGTTTTTCTTCTAAAGGTTGTATCCTTTACACTGTCTAGAAGTTATGAATTTAGTACTAAAATATCTTGAAGGTCCCAATTTGAAGAATAGAAAATTATGTTTTCACTACAAATGCTGAGTTTTATTCCTCACTAGGCTATCTGGAAGTTTAAATGGAGGATAGCAAAAACAAAAGGGAAACATAATATATAACTGTCATAATAAACAGCAGTAGGGAATAGATGTACTTAAGACAGCATAACATTAGTTCAACCCAGAACAGAAATTAAATTTGATATTAGGAGGAGGAATCGTCAATCCATTATCCCATATGGTATTGGTACAGTAAAATAAAAAAATTGCTTTGGTGCCCTCAAAAATGCAGTTGGTACAACCACAAATGAATTTTGGTTCTAATATTAACTAAATACTATTACTCTTGTACACAGATATGCAAGTTTATTTTGTCCTAGATGATTAAGTCTTTATAGTAATGACACTGTGGTCTTAATTTAGAGGTTTTTTTAAGGAGATTCAAGTTGATCTTAACTTCTAGTCATTGCATTAATACAGTGTCTTAGTAATTATTACTATGTTTGTCACTGCTTTCTTCTGGAATGTTTTTTTTTTAAATAATTTTCAGTGTGCACCAATATTCCAGGGAATAAACCTTAATCTTGTTCAATGTTAATTAACTAATTGTCAGTGCAAATGTGTAATATGCATCACATATTACGCATCATAGGGCTGTGCATTCAGATGCATTACTGTTGACATAGCATTGGTCAGGAACACCTTAAAGCAGCTGCAGTTTTTCCTGGTTTCACAGCCACCCTCTGCAACTGACATACAACCTGTAAGGCATTTCTCTTGACAGTTGCTGCATGAGCACTGATGCACATGCCAAATTGCATTTTGCCTTTTGAATCTGAATTATTGCTTGTCTTACTGCCATATTCCGCATCACCTGTATCTTCTAGATCAAGATCAGGGATGGTCTGTCTTACTGTAATTACAATAAAGTTAACATGGGATTTCTAATCTATGAACAAATGTTTTATGTATTTATTTACTTAATCAATTTGTATGGCCACCCAGCTCAACAAGTGACTCTGGGAAAATCATTAAATAGAATTGCCAGCAATAACAAAAGCATATACTGTACAAAAATAACAAAAGGTATATAAGTCTTAAGTGTCAAGTGCTATATACAGCAGCTGAGGAAGATTCCTTCACTAAGAAGGCACTTTTATAAATTAGCAAATTTACCAGTGAGCTATTTGAGGGGAAATAAATTAACCCATATAAGCAGTTTCTCAAGGTAGTAACTTCTTATGCAAAAGGAACTTTGGAGCCCAGTCAAAGCAGAATTTTATTTGCTGAGCTATTAGATGTACTCCAATTATCAACATTCTATAGTATGGCGAGCTAGTACGAAAACATGGCAATTGTACTATTGTTCAGTTCCTGGCCTTACAGTATACCTGTATATTAGTATCAAAAGAGGGATACCTACCTTTATGTTAAAATGTGTAAAAAGAATTTTGAATTGTAGTACAATAGGAGTTGAATGTCTAAGGAGCTTGTTGAAAAGGACATTAGAAAATATTGGTTGTATTAGTAGGACTAGTTTTCCAAATATAAGAAGCAAAAATTCCATGTTTTGTTCAATTCTGGAAATCACATATTAAAAAGGTTCAGACAAACTTAACCAATGCAAAGGATAATGAGGACGGTTAGCAAACTGGAAAGTAAGAAAATAATTGAGGTAACTTTAAGGTTTAATTTAAGAAAAGATATTAGGTATTAAATACTTAAAAGAGGTGTGGCTTGGAAAGAGACAAAAACTAGGAGAAAAGAGGCAAGGCACAGATTGTGGCTAATTTATATTTTAAAATCATATATATTTCTCTAGAGTAGGGTAGTCTTATTCATTGTTGTGATGTTTCAGCAAGGACACAGTGATATTTTTTTAAATAGCAAATTGCACAAGGGCATTTATTCTTATATGGTGATGAAATTGCAGTTATATTCCAGTTAATAGACGTTTTAATGGCACTGAGAAATTGAATATCTTTTGTGATGTAATTGAATATCCTTTGAACATACAGGTAGTCCTTGACTTACAACAGTTTGCTTAGTGACCGTTCAAAATTAGAAAAGCACTTGAAAAAGTCACAACCATTTTTCACACTTACAAACATTGCAGCATCCCCATGATCATGTGATTTACATTCAGATGCTAACTGACTCATATTTATGAAGGTTGTAGTGTTTTCTGGGGTCATGTAATCAACTTTTGCAGCCTTCTGACCAGCAAAGTCAATGAGGAAACCAGGTTCACTTAACTGTGTTACTAAGTTAACAACTGCAGTGATTCACTTAACAACTGTGGTAAGAAAAGTCATAAAATGAGGCAAAACTCAACAAATTTCTCATTTAACAACATAAATTAGGGGCTCAATTGTGCTTGTAAGTTGAGGATTATATTTGGTGTGTGATAAAATTAATTTCAGTGCATGCTTTGTTGAACTGAAAATATATGGCAGTGGACTAAACTATAAAATATTATAAATAAAGCCACAATATTTTAGAGTTGGTTTGTTTAATCCTAAAAGTATCATTTAGAATGTAAAACCAGTCAAGCCTCAATTCAAATCTATAATCTTAATTCCTCCCTCTTTTATTTACAGGAATCTGAATTAATATCAGAATTGGCTGAGAGAGATTGCGATTATAATATTAGGCCAAATGAGAACTCTTACTGCTATCAACTACTGCAAGAATTAAATGAGCAAAGGAAAAAGGGCATTCTCTGTGATGTCAATATTGTGGTGAGTGGAAGAGTCTTCAGAGCTCACAAAAATATTCTGGTTGCTGGCAGCCGTTTCTTCAAGACTCTGTATTGCTTTACAAACAAAGAAAATCGTAACCAAAACACTGTTACCTATTTAGATGTTGTTGCTGTTCAAGGCTTCTCTGTTATCTTGGACTTTCTATACTCTGGTAACCTTGTGCTTACAAGCCAGAATGCAATTGAAGTTATGTCAGTGGCCAGCTACCTTCAGATGACAGAGGTTGTGCAATCCTGTCGTAATTTTATCAAAGATGCCTTAAATATAAGCATAAAATCAGAAGCCCCAGAAGCTGTAGTTGTGGATTATAATAGAAGATCGGTGAGTAGAGACGGGTTATCTTCAAGGGATCAGAAAGTTGCTAGTTTTTGGGCTACAAGAAATCTAACTAACTTGGCAAGCAACATAAAAACTGAAAATGATGGCTACTGCATTGATGAAAGCCAGTCTGAAAACTACCAAATTAATGATTGGGTCCAGGACAGCTCACCTGAAATGGCTGAAAATGAATCTCAAGGTGAAGGAAAGGTCTTTGTGTGGAATGATATGAGTTCACAGGGACAATCGCTTCAAGAACCTGGAAAAACAAGAAGGAAAAACCCAGGTGCAAAAAGATTTGTTTACAATATACCACCCAGTAATGATGAGCCGTTAGAAGACTGTTCAGCTACTCAAACTTCAGTACAATATCCAGAAGAAGATCTGCAGTTTATCAAAGAAGAAGTAGCAGGTAAATGCTGGCATGATGGATATCAAACATTATAATTAATTAAAGCAATAAAAAGTTATTTTTTCAAAGTTTCAGATGCTAACATTTTTAATATTCTGAAATACAAAAGCATCCTTTTCTCTTGTAACTTTGAAATCATTGAGTCATTTACATATAGATCGTAGAATCTTTAAATGAACATATAGAATAAATCTCAGGTGTGAAGATTGATGCTAGGCAATATTGGTTTTACTGCAGAATTACAAAAACTATACTATAGAAAGAAAGATGAAGCTAAAGTTCGCACATTTATACTAAAATGGCTAAACTTACTTTCCAAAAACAGTTTCTTTGTAATAATGTTTAGAATTGGAATTCCTTTTAGAAGTTTATAGAATCAGTCATTCTAAATATTCTAAACCTCCAATTTTGAACTATTAACATATTTTACAACAGGCATGTATGATAACACTGCTTTTGACAGTTCATTTCAATATGTATGCATGTATGTACTTCTTTTGAACCTCTGAATTGCTCAGATCTGGTTTCTGTCTACAGGATATAAGAGTGCTTTGTTAGGAGCATCAATAGTCAGTTGGGTAAACTGAAAACTGTATAGCATTTGAAATCAGATCCTAATTCTAATAGTTTGGTAACGTAAAATATATGACACAGAATTATATTTTGGACTATTTATAAATTAAGAAGTGTATGCTTTTAAATAAAACAGGACCAATGTTAAGAGTATATTACACTATCTGTGAAGGTATTTAAACATCTTAGTATAATTAGCTGAGAAAAATGGGAAACAACAAATCTAGAAATATATTTTAAAAATTAATGGTAGAAACTAAGGTATATTGAATTCAGCAACAATTTTTCCTCTATTGTATGCATTTTCTTAGAGAATATAGGATTTTTCCTTCAAATTCAATGTTTTTCCTATATTACCATCATTATGAGTGCAGTGGTTAGAATGCAGTATAGCAGGCTGACTGTCAACTGCCAGGAATTCGATCCTGACTAGCTCAAGGTTGACTCAGCCTCCTATCCTTCTCAGGTCGTGAAATGAGGGCCCAGATTGTCTAAGTGCTATTATCTCATAATTAAAAGAACTACTTTTTATATTGCCTATTGAGCAAAAGTTAATTGAAGAATTCAATATACTATGAGTAATTTGTTAGAGTTAATCCTTGACTTACAACCACAGTTTGGACTGGAATTTCTATAGCGAAACAATGCAGTTGTAGCGTGTTGCATCATTTGACTGTATCACCTGCACTCCCAATTGCCTTAATAACCCAACAGGAACTTAACATAACTTAACAGGTGATTAAACGGTGAGAGGTGGAAGTCCCAGGTGAGGAAAGGTGCTTTGTGGGTTTGGGAGGAGCCTGAGAGGGTTGGTGCAGTGCACATAAGGGGGACTATGGTATGGCACAAGGTCAGGAAAGCTGGCATAACAATATACTGTTGATCAGGAGCTTCTTGGTGTGCTGTAGCTTTGGGAATATAACATTTTTGCAGCTACAGCATGTCATGTAGCCCCTTTGTGCTGCATTGCTGGGCCAGGCTGGGGCTGGGCTTGGTGCAGTGTAAAGGTAGTTTCCGGCACTTCATGGCCTTTAGAGCTGCAAAAAGCTAAAAGCCATAGATCTGTGGTATACTAGTAAGTCCCTTTATGTTTTGCAAAACCTGGCCCAGTCTGGCCAAAGGTACAGTACACAACTCTGGAACTTTTTGCAGTCCCAGAGTTACAGTGTGCCAGGAAGTCACTTTGCACGATGGAGCTCAGCAACACTATACAAAGGCACTGCACTCTGGGAAGCCCCAGTTCAATCACCCCTGTCACCCTATACATCAGTGACACTTGCCTTGCCACTTGTGTAGCCCACGTACCATTGCCAGTCTGCGGCCCAGAGGTTGGGGACCCCTGCTATACACCACCCCAGCTGACTTTGCCATCTTCTTGCTCCTATTGCTGACAATGTGTGCCAGCACTGGCCCTTTGTGATATAGCTGCTGCCATACTTGGCGGGGAAACTGCTTGGGAAGAAAACCTTGTGCAGCCAGAAACTGCCTCACAAATGGCATAGATGTGGAGAGTAGGTGGGTGGGAGGGAGTTGAAGTGCCCCCGCCCCTCGCAGTTGTAAATGCTTGCAGCTCAAGTGCCCAAATTTTGATTACATCACTATTGGTTCATTTATTCAGTGCTATCATAACTTCAAACAATGCTGAACAATGGCCCTAAGTTCAGGACTACCTGTATAAAACAGTAGTATAGTTGTGCTTTGCTTCTTCCTGTCTAAGGAATTAAGCCAGGAAGGAAAAGGCATCAATGAACACAGCTATGCTTCATCCCAGAATGTTTCCATACATTATAAATATTCCTGACCAAAATATATGAAGTTGCTGGGGGAGGGGGCTTTATACTGAAAATGAAAATAAGTTGAATTCATTGAGGTAAGTTTTAACGAAACAATGTAGTGTTACTTGTTTAGGAATCCTTTCACTGCTTGTCCAGTTAAAAGTTAATTGTACAATAAACGTACAAAGAAATTACAATTATTTTATTTATTTAAAACATTTATATAGCCACTCATCTTATATCACACTCTGAATAGTTCCCAATCAAAATTAAAACAGCATAGTTAAAAAGAACATAATGCACATACCAATTAAAACAATAAACTTTAAATATTTGACACCAAAGTTAAGTTTCCAACAACTGCATCAGCTCCTTTTGTCCTTCTTTGTACCCTCCTTTTATTTCCTAACATTAGCCTCTTTAAACCCAGTATAATTTTCTTGCTTCTGTTGTCTGGAACCAATATATACCATCTCTACATGAATTAATTAATCTCGTTGAGCTGCTCTATTAACAGCAACACCCAAGCAACCTCCTCTGGGCTTGAAAGCTAAGGAAGGCAGGACTTGGTCATTACTTTTAAATTAGATCTGTAGAGAATACTAGTAATATACTATTGTTTAGACTGGAGAATAAAAAAAAAAGTAAGACTGTAGTATAGGTATTTCTCAACTTACAACCAGTTGCTTAATGACCATTCAGAGTTACGATAAAGCTGAAAAAGGGGACTTATGACCCAGTTCATGACTATATTTCATAACGGTTTTGCAAAAAACCAGCCCTTTGGTTTTCAGCAAAACCAGGCCTATAGCAACCTATCGGTTTTCTTACACAGCACTTGCTTTATAATTGCTGCAAAATGTTTGTAAAATCAGACAAGTTTTATTACGGTCATAACTTGAGCATTACTTATAATGGCAAATCACTTACTGTTGGACATGAAGTCACTTATTCCAACTTGAAAGAAATTTTATATTTCTATTAAAGGCAGAGGAGATACAGTTGTAATGATTATTAGGAGAGATGTTTTAACCAAATCGTACTAAATTGCTATGCTTTAGGGAAATCAAGCCAATGCTTTTTCCTTTTCTTCTTTTTATTGCCAAAGTGAGATATTTAGAGAATAAGATGCCTATAGAAAATAAGAGGAAGATCAATATTCATTCTTCATTCACTCATTACAGACTCCACTAGTTCATTAGTTGAAGATGGGTTTCATTAGTAATGATAGGTTTCCAGGTTTTCATTCCTGTGACCTACTCTGAGTACAAATGCCAAGAACATTTAAAAGAATGTTGGAAATAGATTACAACTTCTCTCTCTTTGACAAATAGGTCATATAACACATTTGCCCAGATAACTAGTCCCTGACTGTTTCTGGGTAGACATTCAAATTAAATGATGACTTGTTTACTTTAGCCATGATTGCAAAGTTAATATTTTAATTAATTTCTATTAATGTGTAATAATTGGAAGAAAAATAAATTAGATAAACTAAAGCTTGAGATTTAGGCTGTAGTCTATTCTGTTATGTTAAATTCGGTGAGAGTTAATATATTGTAATGTGAAAATGTTTTGCCTTTTTTGCTTTCTGCATTTGGCATATCTTTACCTTTAATATCTTTACTGAATATTATTTGAGCTTCATATGTGTCCTATTTATGAAGAAATTTTGAGTGGACGAGTAAATTCTAAAGTGTTTGTTTCCTTTTTCATACATAAAGTTATTCAATATGAGAAAAGTAATTCCTCCATTTCAGGTAGCTTAGTTAACTTTGGATCAGCTATATGAGAACTGATTTGAACCTTTTAAAGCAGGGGTGTCAAACTTGATTTCATTGAGGGCCCCATCAGGGTTGTGCTTGACCTTGGGGGCTGGGGTGGGTGTGGCCAGGATAGGCATGGACATCTTGACCACTTCTGTTGGCGGCCCGAGCACTCTGCCAGTGAAAATGGGCTCCTGAGCTCTGTTTTCGGCTGGGATGGCCTCCTGCAATCCTCTACCAGCAAAAACGGAGCTTGGGAGGGCTGCGTTTTTCTGGCAGAGGCAATTTCTGGCCAGTCCTTCGCTATTTCTAGGGCGGCCCGACGGGCCAGATCTAAGTACCCCGCAGGCTGGATCTGGCCCCTAGACCTTGAGTTTGACACCTGTTTCCAAGTGTTGTTAGTCGATGCATGAATTATCTAAATTCAAGGTAAATTATCTAAAAACAAGGTAACATTTTTGCTTAGCTATTGCTTAGCCATTTTCAAATTTATTTATTGTAATGTACTAAGCTCTCTAACAGTCCAGTAGTCAACATTAGACTTTGCATTTAAAGTTTTCACAAAAGAATGTTGGAAGCAATTATTTACTACAGTAATTTATTTTGGTATACATCTTGAGACTTACATGAGAGTTAGGGGACATTTTATAGGAAACATTTCTCTATTTTAAAAGAAATTAATAGTATTGATTTTAAAGTAGGAAGCAGCACTGGTAAATTTGAATGATTTTGAAATACAGCTTTTCAATACAATTGCTTGTAATATCTAGCTCAAGACATTCTTAGGAGGCACTAATTTTTCTATATCTTGTTTTGATTTCAGTCTATTTTCTAGATTTGTAAACAATTTGGGATTTGCTCTTTCAACTATAATCTTTCATTTTATTCATTAAGGTTTTTTAAGCCTCAATAACAGGTCCATTTTAGAGAGCTGATTGTAGCTTAGCTTTCCTCAGAAAAACAAAATTCATGAGTCTTGGTTTATAAATTTCCCCTATTCCTGCATCATTTTAAGCTCTTCCTATCATAACTTTCTCAGGTTCTGCCAACCAAAAGATGCTTCTATTTGCTCTGTCCCTGAAAGTTGCTCTGGTCAGTCCTGATAGCCAAATAGAAAGTTCATAGAAACAGGAAGTTAAAACTTAGGTGATCTGTTTTTGTTTCCTCTATGAAATAGCCATGACAAATTACAGATTAGACTGGGTATTGAATGCAGAACTGTATGTAAACTTTTCCAGTTGCAGTATATAGCACATAGACCCAGATAATAGTCAAGTTAACTACTACTCAAATTACTACTCATACTCAAATGAACTCAGGTCACATAATTTTGTAGAGCAAGAGTGTCAAACATGGCCCGTGGCCCGGATGTGTCACGTGCTGGCCACACCCAGCCCTGGTTTAGTGAAGGGGAGGAAAGTCATGATACGTCATGTGATGACAATGTGATGCCGTGAGTTTTACACCCCTCTTGTAGAGTATTTTGCATCCCAAAGATGTAAAGTTAATGCATAAAGCATATACAAGGTTTGATGTACCACTTTTGAACCTTGAATCTCAATATGCTTAGGTAAAATCCTCATAGGGCTAGGTTACTTGTGGGAATGCCTATATTTTTTTATATACAATATATGGGTGTTTATTTATTTGCATTAATATGACTTTTGTATGGATCTTATAATGTATTTTTTTTTAAAAAAAATCTCTCATAACAGGTACCTCAAATGATTTCAAGTTTGGAATGTTTCCTAGTATCACCAATGATTTCAAGTTTGGGTTACTACAGGGGACTTCAAATGATTTCAAGTATGGATTGCTACCTGAATCCTGGCCAAAAGAAAACTGGGAAAATGGTGAGTACATCTATTAACTTCTGTTCAAGCTTTATATATTCTATTTATACAAGAGTAATACAATTGTACTGTATCAAAAGTGAACACCATTCTCTGAAAAATTTAAAACTGCGTAGAAAGAATCTGCAATGGTAATGATAAGCAAGATATCTATTGTTGAATAATAACTTGCAGGTCTACAGACCATAAGAATTTTGAAGGTCCTGGCATATGTTTCCCTTCTAGTAAAGATTTCTTATGAGGGAATAAGCAACTTGAAAAAAAAGCTTTCCTAGTCTGTCTTTACAGATTTCCCAAAATTTGGAGGATCTAATCATATGTGTGGCCTTACCTTCATTCAATCATATAATTTGAAAATGTACTTAACCACTGCTAAATTTAAAAATGTGCTTTTTGAATTTCTGGCACAATTAAAAAAAGTTTTGAAACTTTGGTACAATTCATATGTGAAGTATATGAATGGCAAACTAATTTCTTGTTGTGTAAATCACTTTTTTCAGTGCCATTTTTAATTTTGAATGGTCACTAAATAAACATATGTAAATCGAGCACTACTTGCATTAGCATTCTGGAAAGCCTTGAACAGAAATATTTCTAAAAATCTTCCTCTACAAATTAGGGGATTGCAGAAATCACTCTGTCTAGGACATATTTCTGTTTGCATTAGACAATTTTCAATTTGTATACTTTATGTTGTTTATTTGATAATTACCTAAACACTTTTAAGCCACTGAAACACTATATGCAATTGTCACCGATCTTTTCTGATGACCTTAAAAATGGATGAATTAAAGACTGGAAATTTGTTCAGAAAGTACCACGTATGGTATTGTTATGTAGGCTGTTACTAAACAGTTGGAAATCACACTTTTGCTAACCTGTTCCGATCATGTGGTAAATTGCTGTTATGTTCTATTTAATCTTGGTCTCACAGAAGTCAAGTAATTTAACACCTTAAAAATGAAGGTGAATGAACTAGTTATAAGTAAAACATACAAGGTATGTGGATGAAATAAATTTGGGTGTTACAGCTATGCAGAGATTTGCTTTGTACTAAATGGCAATATACACACACATGTATATATACATACACAAACATATTATGTTGTTATATCATGTTTTGAAAAATACTTTTATTAACTTATTAAATCATTTCTGTTTGAATCTTTAGGTGATTCTTCTCTAATCATGAATAAATTGAAGTGTCCACACTGTAACTATGTAGCCAAATATAGAAGAACACTAAAGAGACATTTGCTCATTCATACAGGAGTGAGGTCTTTCAGCTGTGATATTTGTGGAAAACTGTTTACTCGTAGAGAACATGTAAAAAGACATTCCTTGGTATGTAACATCTACAATTTGCTACAATAAAACTTAACATTTGAATTACTCTGGTATATCATAGAATTAACCTGCTAACTGATATCACATTTGTGCAATTTACAATTCAAGTGTTTAAATAAGTAGCTTGCTTCAAACTACAGCATTCTCTCTGGTAATATTTGGAATTATATTGTCCTATTGGACAAACAAACATCTATAATTGGATAATGGTGAGAAGTTCTTTGAAGTTGGGCTCCAGCACGAGTCCGAAAGCTTGGAAGACTAAACTTCTGGTCCTGGTGACTGACCCAGATTGGATCCTATAAAATATGTTTAAACATTCAAAATTAATAAATTGGATAATTAATAAAAATGTGTCTGGTTTTTTTTTGTAAATACTGCAAAAATAGAAATACTTCTCTGGTTCATTATTCAGCAAGGCTACTATTGTAAATAAACTAAATATATGAATAGAGATCTGCTTTTGCTCTGGTTGAACCAGTAACCTGATTTAGATGAATATGTACAGTCTTGCTCAGATTTTGTTTCAGTAGGCATAAATACAAACCTGCATCTCAGCTATTCTCTCATGCTCTGATTCAGTAACGAGAATACAGCATGGGATTTTTGCACCTTACAATGTGTACTGGGTAATTAAAAAGCCAAAAAAGTTGGTTTCAAGTTTATTTCCTTTTAATCCCAAGAGCTGTAAGAAATTTAAGATTAGCGTTCCTTGTTAATGGCTGGCTGAATGTCTGTTTTAGGAAGTAATATTGTTGAGACATATCAGTAATATTTAATTTTGATATTAGGTTTTAAATTGCCTCCTACAATATTTTATAATTCAACACACTAAGGAACTGGGGCAGAAATAAGAGCTGAAAAATATAACAAGAACAAAGTAACAAGCTTGTATTTTTTCACTGTTTGTGAAGTGCACAATTTTGATATGGGTGTAGGGGATCCCATTTGTATATTAAAATCTTAGCTTGGATTAATTACAAAGCCTAAATCATTTTTAATAAATTATGTTAAAACTGTTGATGTAATAATTCTATAATCTTTTATGCAGGTTCACAAAAAGGATAAAAAGTACAAATGTATGGTGTGCAAGAAGATTTTCATGCTAGCAGCCAGCGTTGGAATAAGACATGGATCTCGGCGTTACGGTGTTTGCGTTGACTGTGCAGACAAATCTCAGCCAGGAACGCAAGAGGGAGTCGACCCAGTACAGGACACTGATTTTCCTAGAGATGAAGAGTTTGAAGAAAATGAAGTAGGGGAAGCTGATGAAGAGCTACCTGATGATATAGAAGAACAGAATGACCAGACTCGGTGGGATGAATCTGGGGAAGTCTGTGTGCCTTTAGAAGACTGAGGGGATTTGATCTTATAGATGCTTTATTTTGACGTCATGCAGACTGACCATGTTGAATTTTTGGACTGAAGGCTTGGAAAAAATATGGTACAGGCTGGATGAAAGTTATGTTGCTGTGAAAATTATAGGGTTAAAGCCTTATAGCAAAAAAAGGATTATTAATTTTTTAAAGATATTTGCACAGGGCTGTACAGCATACAGTCATTTGGTTGAATTATATAGAGTCCTCACACCTACAGTCAATTATCAAAGTAAAATGTATTTTTATTATTTATAGGATATTACTATTTGGGTCCTAATCTGGCATAGTACTTAACTATGCCTGTGTTAATCATTCATGTCTCTTAACATGGGTGAAACAAATTGCAATTTTTGGAGATGGCTCCCTTGATTCCAATCATAGTTTTTGAACAAAAGTGGCTAGTCTGGCATAGTGGCTTGCGTTTCCTAAAAGGAGGCTTTACCTCACCTCTCTTGCCATTGCCCTTCCCCCAATAGTTTAAATATCCAGCTTCTGGATGACATGAATCTGTGTCACTTAATTTTGTCAGGATATGGTAGCTGACAAGTCCTGGAAACCTAATCACTGATATTTAATTTCCTAAGTTACTAGGTTTCAGTACTTCTGAGTTTGCAAAATGCTACAGCTCTTTCACCAAATGTTAATAATGATTTAAAACTGCAAGGAAGATTGTGATTGGAATGAAAGAAATTTCTCCTTGTCACTTAAAGAACTTTATGTTAGACACTTTTTGGCGTGGCTGCCCATATTTTAATTTATGTTTTTGTTAGCACTATTCTATTGGCTATTACTTTTATTCACTACTGTATACCTCAATCCATCACAAAGCTTAGAGTCCTAGAATTTGAAAAGGAGTGTAATTGATATTTTTTTATTTTAATAGTCCAGCCCAATTTGTCTGCTTTTGTCTAGTTTTTGTTATGTGAAAAATTAGACATAAGGCTGTCTATTTTTTGTGCCCCTTTGCTTTTCATTAAAGTAAACACAAACTGAATCTTTGCTTCTCTCCTATTTTGGGGGTTCTTTTATATACCAAACAAACTACGTTTAACTTGGCAGCTTAATTTGCTGGAACTTCTTTTTTTAAAAAAGAAAATTGTTAGTATAATTACTGGAGCTATTTATCCCCAATGCTCTTTGCTTCTGTTTTGGGATGAGACCTTGAAACTTGAATTTTTGTAGCCATAAATCTTTTCTAAACTTGTTATATTGTACCAATGATTTCAGGCCTTTTTTTCTGAGGGAAGGGAGGGTATTGCACCTTTTTTATGCTTAGAATTCAGCTTCATCTAGCCTGAATGCACGTGAGCTACCTGAAGTTTAGACACTGCATTCAATATATTACTATGTCACAGTGAATAAATATGCACAGCATTTATCATAATACATAGCTAGGCCAGTGTGATAGTACTGTATTATAAGTTGAGGGTCACCATATTTGAGTTTATTAACTTTAAAATGAGTATATTTTCCTATTTTATATCTGCGAACTAAATTATGGTAGTTGTGTGGTAAACTTAATTGCTTTGACAGATAGAATCTTAATGGTGCTCCATCTGTTCAAAGTTTATATATATAAAATATATATATAAAATATATTTAAAGAGACAGCTTTATTATCCCTTATTTCAATACAACAATGGATTAATGTTAGACACTGTTTCTGCTGGATGAAACAGAGACTGAATCATATGGGTATTAAATTGTATAATCTTTTCTATCCAAATACATCATTGGTAGATTCCACATCACTGTAAACCTAACAGATAAGTAGTTCTTGGGTTTTGTTTTTAAGAACTGAAAACATCTTATTCTCTTCTAGACTGAAATGAGTTATGTGTAATTCTGTTGGGGTCCAAAGTAGAAAATAGTGGGGAAACATAATATGAATGGGAAGTATTTTAAACGTTAAGTAAATGTTCTGCTCTGTGAATATGTAAGTTATAGTATAAAGATTTCTTCCATCCCATTTATTCCCCATAAAATAGTTTACAATTGATCTACCTATCTTGTCCGAAAATCACCTAAATCTGCTTTATTATAACATACTATTCACTTAATGCTTAAACTGGACCTGGCTTTCCATTCTTAATGTATTTTACTTACTCTCTTGAAACCGAATCTCCTTTTGCTACTTAAATCATTTGTGTATATCTGGTAAATTATGACCAAATCTGTTGTTAGATTAAATGCAGTAAATTGAAATATACACTTGGTACACTACAGAATTGTTGTGATTTTTTCGGGTTATCTTTTTAAAAAAATATGTAGACATATTCAGGATTTTTTGTTGGCTTTGGATAAATTATTGTGCATTTTGCATCTCTAGTCAGGATTTTTTTAAAGTTACATCTTAAGTGTGGCATTTTGGCTATTCCTTTAACAAAACATAAGCATTATCAAAATTACTTTCTCAAGGAAAACTGTTGAATTTAAACAACTGATACCCCGTGGTAGTTGTCTCTACACTGATCTTTTTATTGGTTATGACCAATTGGAAGAAAAATATTGGTAATTTATATTTTGGGAAAAGTTCTTTATAAACCAGAGATTAAAAATAAGTTATTGTTGAATCCTAACTTCCACGTCAATCCTCAAATTGGCTTAGATTTCTGGGGGTTACATTCTGCATTGCTATTAAAAACCAATCCATCTAGTATCTTTGTTGAAGCTGGATTTGGACTATTGCTACTATTAAGCAATTTTCCAAAATAGCTTCAGGCAAGTAGCATGTTTATTTAAGCAAGCTTTATTTCCTAAATACACTGTTATGGTATGAAAATGTACATAACTAAAGCAAAATATAGTAATTTAAAAATTTACGTGTGAATATATGAAGCATAATAAAATAAAGTCCATAGTTTAAAATTTATTTACTGAATACAATTTAAGAAACTGCAAGAAAAAATGTAGATGGTACCTCTTCAGTCTCCCTCTCCTAAGGGATATGTGCCTTAGTTTAGCTCTGGACTTTGTTTATAGCTTTATAAGAATGGCATTATGCTTTGCTTAGACTGGCTACTAGCCTTAAAATCACAAATTTGCTTACCCACTTATTTTTTTCAATCAAATTAGTTTATATAACCCCCTTTGAATCTCAGTTTTCTTTTATACATGTCTGCAGGGCTTTATAACGTTTTAAAATATATTAAATACTTTTTGTAAATGTGTATTGTTTTAGCACCTAATAGAGCATGGTATGCTTCAATTTGTGCAGAAGTATACGATAAAATCCACCAGATCTGTCTAACTGGATATGGACGCTGCTAAATATTGTTAAATTGAACATTCTGAATCATGGATCACTATCTTTTTTTGAAAAATTGTGTTTTGTCTGCCAGAATAACCTGGGAACTCTTAATATGCATCCCAAACAGCAGTCTTAATTTCTATACTCTTGTCTAGATTTTGACATATTCATAATCATGTATGTTTTGTTCATTAGCAGATAGATCAAGTAGAACTGCTAAAAGGAGTAGTACGGCTAGGCAATTAATTAGGGCTGGGGCAGGGAGAGCTTCAATCGTAGCAACTTGCCAAATGAACAGAAATGTAATACCCAATGATTTAATATAAACCCTTTCTCAGCTTGATAGTTCATGCATTTGTGTGCACAAAAGATCAGCTGAAACCACCTGTGAAGAAAAACAGGAAATAGGAGAAGATCTATGAAGCAGTCAAACAGAATATTTAGCATGATATAGTCCTGCTTGCAAAGTTGTAGGAATTGAAGTGCCCTGCCAAATTATTTGCATGGCTATGCTAAGTAATAGATTCTCTATTGAATTGATGCTTATAGAAAGAATTGTGTAAAATACATAGAACAGTAAGTGGCACTAAGCTCTTCTCTTCATACTGCTGTCCATAAACAAAAGGCTTAGATTTCCCCTCTTTATAAATGGGTTAATTTGGACTCAATGTCTGCTGAATGGGGTGATTCAGATGGCACTAACCATTAGAGATATTGTGAAGAGTTGATGAATCTGATCCTTTATAGGAAGCAGAATATCGAAAGTCTTCTGACTTTTAAAAAAGGTAATTCATTTTCTCTTTGAGATGGTTGATCATGAAAACATTGCACAGATTTGTTGTATGCTGAACATAATCATGTTGAAAATACCATGCAAGCCCTATTTTTTCACTGGTACTAATTTGTGACAATTTCTTTTAATATTTGTATCTATACAAATGCTTAAAATATTTTCTAAAGCAAAAAAACTAGTTTATCTTCAAATATTTCTCTAAGATTTTTTTAAAAAATAGTACCATGTATAAAATACAACTTCCTGATTTAAAGAAACTTTTCCAAGAATGATATTTATATATGGGAAAAATTAATTATTTTTCAACTTATTAGTTCATTGAACTACCGTTTGTTGTTAATATATTGGAGATCACTTTTCCTTCTGAGGAATAGAGGCCATATTAACTTCAGATTTCAAGTTGTTGAGATCACACGACAAGCTATAAACATGGTCATGCAGAAAACTGATTTCCGTGTGGTTTTCGGCAATCTGTAATAGGAAAAAATGTTAATTCTGAATATTGCAATAATTGTACTAAAATTAATCTATTTTGAATTATATATGTAATTATGAGATATCTGACACAGTGACCTAGTTTCAGCAAAATACAATGTACTATAGAAGCTCAGAAAAATAAATGTTTTTTTCAGGAGCACCTACACACTCCTTCAGTAGTACCTGAAGAAATCAGCATTTTGAAGAAATATTTAAAAACAAATTTCTAGCTGCATAATTTTCTCATGTCTAACATTAAGGTCTATAAGTAGGGACAGAAATATGAAAAAGGGTTCTAGGAGATTGCAAATTGAACAGAAACCAGGAATGGCTGCTAAAAACAGGAAATGCTACTTTTGTCTGAGTAACAGCATGACATTCAGATTCTGCTCTTGTTTCACTCTGCCTTCATCAGGTCCATTTGGAATACTGCGTCCAGTGCTGGACACCACACTCTGAAGAGATAGGCAAATTCTTGGGAGAGTTACCAAAATGGCTTAGAATTAAATCTTACACCGAACCTGGATATGTTTAACTTGCAAAATAGAATACTACAACAAGACAGGATAATCTTTAGCTATCTAAAGTATTGTTACATAAAGAAGGGAGTGGACTTGTTCTCTTCTACTGGATCCAATTACTTGGACATTTTTAGATTAGACTTCATTTATTAGCTTTAAATGCCAGTTTAGGAACTCTGCTAAGAGTTGTCAGCTGAAGTACATTCAGCTGAAGTACATCTGAAGTACATTTCATTCAGTGCAAGTCTTCAAACAGGTTGAATAGCCAATTCTAAATTCTGTAATGGATCTAGTACAGCACAAAGAGATGGAATAGACTATTCCTGTCCTTTTCTGAAAGTTTGGTTGGATCCTTAACAATTTTTATCATGATATATGCTTTCAGAGGTTATAGTACTATTTACTGAATTTTATGCACCAAGATTTTAGTCCAAAAACCTTGTCATAATACTTAACTGTTATAAGGGTTTTTGAAGCCAAGTCCTAGAATTTGCTGCTATAGTTGTTAGAGGTTTACAAAGTTGGGAAAAAAGATGAACTTTCTTATTGTGAAATGGAGTTGTCTATTCTTCCAAAACATTTAATAAAAGCATCTCTTAAGAATAGTGGGGGTGGGCGAAACCCCTACATAAATGTCATAGTTCATGGACCCCTTCCTACGTCAGGAAGACTGGTTTGGCAACTCTTTTCCAGTCCTCATTTGCCATATCCTTAATTTGCCTAATCCTAATCCTTATTTGCAAGCTGTTTAGCGTAAACCAGAATCTGAAGCTTTAATTATTGAATGTAAAACAGTCATAATTGCTGCAGCGGTGATCATCTGTAGTGATTTTAATCTGGTAGAGACCTTCGCTGGTTGTCAGACTTTTGGGGTTGACTCCAGGTCTGGCCCTCAAGTTCTAAAGTCATACAAACTATCCAGTAGAATGAGAACCGGACAGCACTGTCAAATTAAATATGCAGAAAGGTCTCTTGAGGGAATCCTTTTTGTGGAACTGTTAAGCATGCATGGAAGGCCATCTTTAATATGGTTTGTTGAATTGCTAACCATGGCTTAAACATTTAACATTTTTATATCTTTACCATTTTGTTACATGTTTTCCTGGTAATTTTATGGAATGGCAATAACAGCCCTCTACTTTCAGCTATAATCGTGATAGTTTTCTAAAAATGCCTGACAAATCTTGGCTATTAAATTTTGTATCAAGTCAAGCTAAATACTGCAATGTGTATGAAGAAGCAAACAAAAAAAAATATTTTCTTACTCTAACAACTTTCAAAAAGGACAAAGTTAGTTGAGTCACTAAAATGTATGTATTTGATCACTATAAATCTGAGTCTTTGATTTTCTGAATGTTTTGCCTACCAATCACATTTTATTACAAAAGTAGTTGATCATTGAGTGAAAAGTCATCCTTGGCATCATGCAGAACTGTTTCCTCAAATTAAACAAAATCTTAATGAACTGTTTTAATTAATGAATAGGAGTTAATGTTTTTATAATTAATTTATTTTCCCTTCCCTTCAATAGCTCAAAAGATCATACATAGCAATCCCTTTTCCAGATACCCTCTACACACACACACACACGTTTGTAAATTAGTTTGGGCTGAGAATGACTGATTTAAAATGTCTGGGTGAGCTTCCATGCCTGACTTTAACCCCTACATTTGTGTGTCAAGGAAAAAAGCAACACACGCTGAAGCTAGAAGAAAAATGAAGCCTTCTACAGATGCTAAGAAAAGCAGGTTTAATGAGCTGCTTGTTATTATAGCAACAAAATATTCACTGGTGAGAGAAGTCTGTGAATCTCACACTATCTAATTCTGCAGTATGATGACCTTCAATGTGACAATTTGATCAGAACTTCAGTAAGGTTCTATTAATAAAGAGATTGACAAAAACAGTGTACTGTGTCATGTCTTTATTGAATATATTAAGCCAACATTCACTGACTATTCTGGAAAAAGTATGTAAGGCCCTAGAACAAGCAGTTTTTCAACTCTTAACTTTAATGAAATGACAAATCAGATCTGTGTTTGGAAGGCTCTCCCACAAAAGATGGTGCACACATATTGGCTCCATCAGCACCTATTATTTATGAAACAGGTTTGTGAAAGTGAAACTTGTCTTGATCCAGAGATCTCTATGGACCTCAAAAAAAAAAAAATATTATTGAGGGTCATTAGAAAATCTTGATCAAACTTGGTTTCTATCATCCACATCATGCAGTTAATGATAATTGTATCTTCATAAATGGCTGTTCAAGAAAAGTCACTTCAAGATCAAGAAGCTATCTCTGGACCAGGATAACTTTTAGATACTAAGTTCCATTATCTGCATATTACCAGTTTCTACAAGAGAATGTCTCTGTGTCTATGAGCCAAAGCCTAAGCAAATATGAATCATGCAGTACAAAACTGATCCTAAATACATCTACAATGGATGCAGAAGAATGTTTGCATTTTGGAATTGTTTCTCTAGCGCAACTGAAATGGTATAGCAGAACTTGAAGTGAGTAGTTCACACAGCCTCAAAACATCAATGAGCTGAAGTAGTTTTGTAAAAAGGAGTGGGCCAAAATCTCACCCCACCCCAAGAGAGAAGTTTATTATTAGTTTTAGATCAACTTCAGCTCACGCTGCAGGTCATGTACTGCAGAATTATGAATGGTTAAACTTTCGTTATTGAAAGTTATATAACTAAAAAAGCCTCAGGTCATTTCGTAAACCTGACATATACTATAATCCAGCATCCTTTTCCCCAACTACACGCCTCTGAAGGAAATCCAGCAGAACACAAATATTTTGCTCTTTCCTTATCCTGGCATCTCCTATTCAATGATATGTTATCCCAGAACATGAAGATCCCAATAACCGCCATGACTAATAGTAATCATTGATGATCCTCCTTTGAAGCAGTTTAACCCTGACTAATGAATTTTGTAATCTTAATTCACTTAACTGTTTAAATTCAAGGCAGGAATGCATGGGTTATTTTTGCTCTTCCCCCTGCATGCTCACAGAATTGTATCTGGCTCTCTAACTGCAGTTTTCATAAATATTTTATTCTGAGTCATAACCAGTCATTTACTTCATTTTATATTAGACATTATTAAATATGGGAAGCCAATTACAGAAGTTCTAGTTTTTTTTCTCAAAATGTCAAAAGCATAGAATGTAATTAAAAAGGTATGTTGCTTAAGATACCTGTTTGTGTATTTGAGAAATATGTTCCACCCAATGATTTTTCTCTCTTCTCAGTTTAGAATTTTCCAGCTCCACTTTGGTGTGTTGATTTTCTAAATCAATTAGTTGTGTATGAAGATGTTGCCTTTTGTGATCCATAGATTTTCTTTCTTGTAGATGAAGTAACTATTTGCAGTTATTTTGAAATATATTAATTAGTGTCTAAACCTCAATTTCATTTAAAAATGTCTACTTAATTGACATGCTTGCATTATAGGCTTCCTTGATTTTAATGGAGTAAGGAAGATTGTTCAGAAAGGATATATTTACATTTATTTTACATACATGTTACATTTACTGGCAATTCCTACAACAACATTGTAGACAATGATTCAAAGACTATCTTAATTCTAGCCTTAATTATGTTGGTATAATTATATACAATCTTAAACATGCTTCATGTATGGACAATGATTCAAAGACAAAAGTTATAAAACTAGCCTCACCTTGGGGAAAACAATATTCCATAGGGCAGTAGCCACAGGAGAGAAGTCCTGTTGCCTAGGGTCTGCCAAATGTAGCACTCTAGCTAAAGGGTCTCATAGCATGCCCTCTGTGTTGGATATGGGCACATGAACACATGTAATTAGGGAGAGGTAATCCCATGGAATGTAGGTCTTTAAAGGTCAAAAACAGCACCTTGAAATTTGATCTGGAAATAAACTGGCAACCAATGCAGCTCACCAAGCAGAAGTTTAACCTGTGTTCTACTAGGAACACACACATAACTAACATATTTTACACCAATTGAAACTTTTAGGTACTCTTCAAGGACAGAACCATGTAGAGCAGGGGTGTCAAACTGGCGGCCCAAGGGCTGGATGCATCATGCATTGGCCACGCCTACCCCAGCTCCGTGAATGTGAAAAACATCCTGAAATGTCACATGACAACAATATGAAACCGCGAGTTTGACACCTGTGACGTAGAATGCATTATTTGCAGCAATCCAAATCGGTGACTAGTGACTATGAGGAGATGCCCTCAACGTAGGAACAGATGCAACTGGCACACAATGTGAAGGCCCTTCTAGCTACAACTGCCACCTGCTCTTCAAACAGGAGTCATGATTCTAGAAGGACCGCAGATTGTCAAGCTGTCTGTCTGGGACAGTGTATCCCCATCCAGCATCAAAGATGGCATAGTTGTAAATCCAGTGGGTCCAAAAAACCAGAACCACCCAGTCTTAACCACACTTCAGTTGAAGCCAATTCCCCCCCCCACCCCCCCCACCCCCACCCCCCCCCCCCATCCAGATGCTCAGAGCCTTCAGGCACTGGGATAGGTCATATTCTACCAATGGAATTTGAATTACATGAAATATTGTTACAACCTGTTCCTGAGCTTTAAGAACTTTCTGTTTTAGGTTTTGTAACAGGGTCTTCAAGTGGGTGAGTTTCCGCTTAAGTTGCCATGTTTTATCTCTTCCTGATGCTAACTCAGACACTCTTCTTGAATAGGAAGATGTCTCCTCCTCTCTCAGCTGCCTTTCCTACAGCAATTATATGAGTTAGTGTATTAGTAAAAAGAATCATGGTATCTGTTCCCTTGATGTGCTGCTGCTATTTCTCTTCTTCACATAATTGTTATAAGACTGCAAATAATTAAATATCTACCATTTCTTTAAAGAAAAAAGAGCATGTTGTACATGCACTAGCACTACCTTGTCTGTAAGAAAGGGGTGAATATCTAGGAATACAACTGATTTCATATAGGCATCAAACTAATTTCAGTCTTCTCGTGCAAGAGATCAACTCAGAATTTGGTAAGAATTATTTTATTCACTGCTGCATGGAAGATAGAGGTTGAGAGACAAGATATCAGAAAGAATTGAGTTCCCTATCACTGAATCCTGAAAATATGAAGCAATGATTTTGGAAAATAGCAGTAATAATGTGCTGCTGATACAACTCCTAATCCATAAAATTCCTATTACTACTTTTCCAATCACAAGACATAATAGAATTCCTCTAAGAGTCCTCTGTTATTTTAGCCTTTATGGCTATTACTATAGTAAAATTCTTCAGATTTATAAAATTCTGTTATGTACTTGTGCATGGATCTGTCAATCAATGTTCTGGAAATTCATAATTTACAAAGAACACCAAATATTGGACTGAATTTTTTTGTGTGGTTTCTTTTAATTTTTTCAAGATTGGAATCTGAGGAACAGATGAGGCCTACCTGGTTTAGATGCTTGGTAACTTTCTGTATTTGAGCATGTAAAAGACTATTCTCCTTTGTCAGATGTCCACAATCTTCTGCCATCTTGTTGAGCAAATACTTATCTTCATCAGCTGAAAGCTCATTTTCCTTGAGGATCTGCCTTAATTTTTCAGCTTCCTCACTAAGTATAAATCATTTTAAATATTAGCTATCATGGGTCATTCAAAAATAAGATTCTTTTTTATTTCTATGCTACCACTATCTCTCCTGATTTTATAACTATACTATGCTATACTATAGATGATTATGCAGAAATGCTTAACTATCCAGTGTGAACAAGAGATACTGAATAGTTCTGAAAATATTAAAAGGTGGATAACACAAATGTCTTTACCTAAGTTCCTTAACAATAGTCTCTTGTGGAGATAGGGAGCTCATTGATAATTTCTCTTCTAAGCGATAGAGCAATGCTTGCAGTTGCGTGCACTGTGATCTGAGTTCTGAAATGTTTTTTTCCATGTCTTGGTACTGCCAATTCTTCTGCTGACACTAAATAAAACATATAATAAAATGAATGCTAAACATTCCCTTCCCTCAAGAATCATTAAGGATTCTTCTGGTGAGAGTATAGAGCAGGGGTGTCAAACTTGTGACAACACATTGTCATCATGGGATGTATTGCAACTCCTCCCCCCCTTTCGCTAAACCTGGGGTGGGTGTGGCCAGTGTATGATATATCTGGGCCGTGGGCCGCGAGTTTGACACCCCTGGTATAGAGTGATCCATTTCTAGCATAAGGAATATACATTTATTATCTGTTGCTTATATAGCATTTAGGCACTAACCTTCCAGATTGCCCATTTGTTGTCAGATACTGCATTTATCATAACTAGCATCTATGCATCTTGTTTCTTGTCTTTAAACCAAATTTCACCAGATTTCAATTCCAGTTTTACTAAAATGGGCACTCACTGCTGGAGGAGGTTGATGGGGTAAGAAAACTTCATCCCTGTCCATAATTCTAGAAGCAATATTCATTTTAATACTACAGCTAGCTCTGAATAATATCAATTTTAATCAATTTTCATTAGAGCAGACATGAACATGAATTTTAATGCTCAAAGCTTCCCATTAAACTAATGAAGGCTGTTGTTTCATGACAAGACTAAAGGCTTAATTGACAGAGAGCACTGACCATTTCATAGAACTAAAGTTCCAAAATCAATTTTCAGGAACTAAGAAATAATAACATACCGTATATACTCAAGTATAAGTCGACCCGAATATAAGCCGAGGCACCTAATTTTACACAAAAAACTGGGAAAACTTATTGACTCGAGTATAAGCCGAGGGTGGGAAATGCAGCAGCTACTGGTAAATTTCAAAAATAAAAATAATTAATTTGGGAAACGATCTCACTATCATGAAAGGTTTAATTGATTCACTAACCCAAAAGAAGAAGATGATGATGACAGCGGGAAGCAGGAGTCACTCTCTTCCCCTCCCTCGGAGGCCCCCTGAGTCAGGAGTCACTACCGCCGGCGCGGCCCCAGTCCCGCCGCCTCGGGAAGGGAAAGGCAAAGAGCTTTTTGCCTTTCCCTTCCCGGCTGGGGCTGTTGGGAGTCGCTGCCGCCGGAGGCCGCGACTCCACACCATTTTTTTTTTCAGAGGGGAATCTGACTCGAGTATAAGCCGAGGGGGATTTTTTCAGCACAAAAATTGGGCTGAAAAACTAGGCTTATACTCGAGTATATACAGTATTTGTTCTGGAATAAGCCAAAGCTAAGTTGGGAGGAGCTTTTGATTGTGCAATGTAGGAACTGTTCAGGATGAGTTGGGTTCAGGATGGTTCCTACAAAGGCAATGTTCCATTGCTCCAAATGGAAGGCAAAAGTTGACTTTGAAGGTCTCTGTTCCCACCACAGGAAAGATCTATTCAATTGGTGCATCACAGGTGCTAGATGCAGTTTATTGGGATCCAGGGGAAACTTGGGACTATTCCTAAGTCTCTAATAAGTGGTTTGAGTGAGGTTGTAGTCACTGCCCGGAGTAAGAGTGTATCAACCACCTGTGACCAGATAGCACATGTGTGAACCCTCAGCTCATGAAACTTCTCTAATGCTTCCTGAGATGAAGCAGCAGAAGAGATACCCCAAACACCACCTGAAGAGTGAATCCAGTAGAACACAGGTAACAGCCACGGTACTTTTCTGGGTCATTTTTTGAGGGTTGAGAATAAGGGCAAAGTGTTGCAACAGTCTCCTTCGTTCTTCAGTTGAGTTTCCAGGTGATTTTGATGGAGAAAAGAGATCTAGCCATAGACTGCAGATTTGCAGGGTTTCTTAAGGTTCTTCTCTCTCTGCTCCTATTTAATATACATGAAACCAGTAGGCAAGTCCAGCCATCAATATGAGGTTAAGTATCATCAACGTTGTATCTCTTCCCCAGCTGACATTTATTTTTCCAGTATCTGGAGGCTATAGATATCTGGATGGGGAGAAACACGTTTTGCTTAATCTAAACAAGACTGAGCGGCTCTGGGTTTTAGGCCCCATGGATCTGAAGACTTTCTCTATTTACTTCTAGATGAGATTCTATTCCCCTCAGACAGAACTGATGTGCAATCTGGCGGTGATTTTGAGTTGTGGCTCCTGTTAAAAGAAGAGGTGGCAGTAGTGGTCAAAAGGACCTTTCTACAACTATATATTGTATGCCAGTAGAATCTCTTCCATGATCAGGATGCTTTGCTCATGGTTGCCCATATTTTCATTACCATCCACTTGGACTATTGTAACACTCAGCATATGGGGCTACCTTTGAATACCATCCAGAAGTTACAATTGGTCCAGAAGAAACTAATATGGATAAAGGCACCAATGTAACATTGCTATTACACTATTACACTATTTCTACAGGCTCTGGGTGCAATTTAAGGTACATATGATTACCTACAAAAACCATTATAGCACAAGGCCATGTTATTTGTGGGATCCCCTACCTAATACACGGGCAAACAACCGATACAAACTCAAGGTAAACCGCTCCAAACTCGACTGCAGAAAATACGACTTTAGTAACAGAGTAGTCAATGCCTGGAATGCCCTAGACCTCAAACTGTCTACCGTGGACATCACCCCATTCTTAAGAGGTCCTTAAAGGGGCCTGTATAAGCGCACCAGCGTACCTACCGTCCCTGTCTTACTGTCCTCATCTGTATTTACTTCTTTTGTTCCTGTTTATGTTCATATTTATACTTGTTATCTTGTACATGTTTGACAAACAAATTAAAAAAAATTATGTCTGCTCATCCCATGAGGTCTGACAAACTGGGCATGCTTCAGGTCCTCTCCATGACACAATGCCATTTGACATGATTTCTCTGTCATGGTGCCTGTCCTTTGGAACACATACTCCTCAAGATTCAGATGGCCTAACCCTGCTGACCTTCCACAAGGGGTTAAAAACTTCGTATTTCCTCTGGGAAATGAGTTAAGAAATTAGATTAGACCACCTGGAAATAAAATAATAAAATTGCATGATCTTAAAAGGATATAGATAAGCTGTCTCATATTCTAGTAAGCAGATTTGTTTTTGCAGATTCCTTATGTATTCAGCTTCAAATGAATTGATGGCATTCATCTCACTAAAAAGAAAGAAAGTGCAAACATACATTAATGTATCAGTAGCCATTTTCATCTCTTTTGTATCAGGAAACCAATGAAGTTTTTTCAAAGCTTCCAAATGAATATTGCCTTATCTTTTCTTATATACATAACATTATTTTTTATACATTTATGCAATTTATAGAGCACTTTTAATTATAAAGTAAAAGTAAAATAAAAATGAAAGGCAGTTTGGTGTAGTAGTTAAGGAATCAGGCTAGAAACCAGGAGACCCCCAAGTTCTAGATCTGCCTTAGGCACAAAGCCAGCTGGGTAACCTTGAGCCAGTCAGTCTCTCTTAGCCCTAGGAAGCAGGCAATGGCAAACCACTTGTCAAGAAAACTGCAGAGACTTGTCTAGATAGACCCTGAAAATTGAACAAGATTGAACAAAAGGAAAAAAGTAAAACATAGACAAATAACAAAAAAAGGTATCATGAGTGGCACATCAACAGATCAATAGATGTTGATGATAGACAGACAGACAGATAGAATAAATAGATGATAGATAGATAGATAGACTGGAGAGAGAGAGGCAGAGAGAGAGACAGAGAGACACAGAGAAACAGAGAGAGACACACAGAGAGAGACAGAGACAGACAGAGACAGAGAGACAGACAGACAGACAGAGACAGACAGACAGAGACAGACAGACAGACAGAGACAGATGAACAAAGTAACCAACCCCATCCCTTCCACATTCAATAGGGGCTCAACTTATCCTGCCCCAAGCCTGGGAGAATAACCAGGTCGTTAATAGCTTCATGCAACATCCTCAGGATGGGAGCCATTCAAATCCCTTGGGTGAGGGAATATTATTCCAGAGTGAAAGCACCTAACAGAGAAGGCATTCTTCCCTGCTCCCACTAGATTTACCTGCCTGATTGATGGGGCTTAAGCAAAGGCATTCTTCTGAATAGATATGTAGAAGACTGAAGTGCATATGCTGCTTAAGTTTAAAATTGGATCTGCCCAAGGGTTTAATTACGGACAAATAGCCTGAGTTGAATCTTTCTTATGATTTGTCTTAACGCTAAGTTTGTACAAGGCTGATGTTCTTTTGCTACGTTCATTTTGTATTTCATAGAATTTCATGATGCATGTCTGCTACATTCATTAATATTTTGTTGATGACTAAGCCCTTGTTTGGAGAAGTACTGTATATTTAGAGAAGATTATTTGTGTGTGGTAGCATTTAACTTGCTCAGGAATAGGAACCTATTGCTCTGCTCTGCCTTTCCTGCCTGAGACTCCTAAATGTACCTCATTATCTGTTATGTGACACTGAATGCTGGATTAGATAGCCATGATCCTGCAGGGCCCTTCTTATAATCTTAAAAGGACTTCCAACTACGCTTGAAGAGACACGGATTGGATCAGGCTGTCAATCATCTCTCTAGCAATCCAGTGTTAATATTTTATACCTCAGTCATTCATTTTTGACTCAGTATTAGAAACCCAATTATTCCGTTACATAGAAAGCAATCATAGCAATGCTAGTTCAGAAAGAATCCCAAACTAAAATTAGCTAAAATCTTTATGGGAACCAGGCAAGATTTCAAAATTCTCCAGGATTTTTTCTCAAACTATTGCAAAAAGAGAGCAAGGGGAAGAAAGAAGTCCCAAGTCTAAGAAACAGATGTGCTGGCTCAGCTCTGGAGCACCAGACTAGAGTCATTCTCAAAGTGAAGACTGGAGAGTAAATGGATGAGTAAGTACAGTAAGTGCGTATTGTTGGGGGCAATATGCTGACTCTGTAAACCACTTAGAAAGGGCTGTAAAGCACTGTGACATGATATATAAGTCCAAGTGCTATTGCCATATTGGTGCAGCTATTAACAGAGGAAAAGACAACAATATCCAGTTTGGAGTTTGATGACCCAACCAC